GACATATTAACACTTTTTTCCTCTTTGTTGTATTTCTTTCACTTTTTTGTTAAAGTACTTTTTATGTTTCTTCCCTCTTTTTGTAATTAAAAAATTTAAAAAATAAATTTAAAAAAGCAAATGATTTCTGGTTCTGATGTTTCAGGATCTCTATATTATGCATGAGTTTGCATGATATATTCAGCTCTGAAATAAAGAGTCACATTTTAGTGTAGTGTGTTGCATGAACCCAGGCCATGAGATTCGTCTGTAGTGGTTCAGTGTTTTGCAAACTTATAACATTGGATTAATTCAATAAATGAGCCTTCCCTGCCCTGAGTGGCCTCCCATTATGTTGCCTTCCTGAATGATTGTGTAGTCCGGGGAATATTGGAAGCTGACATCACATATCTGTAGGCTGTCCAGATTGGAGAAGTCTGGAATAAATCATGGTTCAGTTAACTAGGAGTGAACATTGTGTGTGGATAGAGATAAGAGGTTTTCTCATACCTTGGAACATTTCTGCTGCTTTAAAGGCTCCATCAAGGGTTCAGCCAAAAGTCCCACCCCTGATAGTGGTCAGAGGTATCTGGCACTCTTGCCTGCCCTACACTGAAGGATAAAAGTGCTTGCTTAAAAGGGATGGTTGTCTGGTGGGTGGCTACTAGCTCTTGTTACACTGTATTTGTTTGGGGGAAGCTGGTTGGCTAGTTTTTTGGGTGAAAACCATTTTAGTTGTGGGACTCGGCCACTGAAAAGGATCATCTTGCAGGCTCTGGGAGGGGTTCCAATGGTCTGCTGCTTGCACAGGAATGGGGTTGTGGTGGTGGTGGTGGTGGTGGGTGCCTGTTTTTCCCTTACTCAGTGTATATAGTACAAAGAAACAGACACCGCAGCAACACACCCCATTCTGTTCTCAGAAGAATGTGGCTTTGTATAATCTCATATGACTGAGAAATGCCTTTCAAGAATGTTCTGAGATGGCTCAGGACAGATCAATATTGCTGAGGAAGCAAAACGGTCTTCTCTTCCTATTGCTACCTATCTCTACGGATGAGCAAAACTTACAGTAAAGCGGGAGGGTGGTGTCACTTGGCAAGAGTGAAGGGATTATAAGCTTTGCCCTACCACAAATTCTTTTTGATTAATTGCTTATATCCCTTCTTTCCCCTGAAATCTGTTTCCATACATGTGGAGATCTCACATAGAAGGCTCTGATAGCAAGTCCAAAGTGGTCATAGAGCAGCATTGTCCAGTCTGATGCCTTTTGAACAAGTTAAACTACAGTTCCCACCCAGCACAGCCAGTGAGAAGGCTGCACTAGAGGAGTGGGCACTGTCTTCTGCACTATCATTGCAAATACTGGAAAGCTGCAATTGCATCCCACACTAGTCCAGAATTAACCTGTCTTGATTTGTGCAACCTGCTGAACCATAAACAAACCCCACTATCTGAGTTTGCACAACACACTGACCCGCACGTTAGCTAATTATGTTTTTGTGTTGTGTGTAGCCAGACAAAGTATGAGATGGCTGCTGCTAGGAAAGCATGAGTCATGGATGTAGGGTGCCAAGAGGGTCCTTCCTCATTCTATAATTTCATTTTGGTCCATGATTTCAGCCTGCACAATGTTGTCCAGATGTAGACTATTCCTGTCCCACCCTCTGAAGTTCTATATTCTTTTTACCAGTTTGCGGGTCTGGGGTGGCTTTAGTCACTGTGTTCTGCAGAGTTGTGAGCCGGTGTTTCATGACACGTAGCCCCTCAATAAACCGTGTTTCCTGCCCTTTGAGAAACTGCTGCATTTGGCGGATGGTGGCGAGGAGCTGCTGCTTCGTCATGCAGTTCTATGGAAAAGGTAGAAAAACAGGAGCCGACTGGCGCATTTAAACATGTCACATTTGCAAACTATGGCATTCTATGCATATTGAAAATAATTTATTCCAATGTTTTCTCCAAATTATTTATATCCTTCATTTCCTTAAAGGGACAAAAATAGCCTTTTCATCTCTTGTCAAGCAGGACAAGTTGTGACTTGCCCAGTGCTACCCTAGGAAAACCATAGGTGAGCAATGATATCAACCTGAAAAAGTAATATGATGCATTTTTTTAATGAACGCGCACAGAACAGTTAGTGTACTCGCCAACCTGTAAGATATTCATTGTGTCAAATGAATATGCATAATGCCACTGTACACCTGAATGTATTATAATATTGTTTCTTTATCAGTATTATAGAATAGTTTGGCTCTACCTAATATTAGATTGTAATTTGGTGTTTTATATGATTTTATTAAAAGTTTTAAAAACAAAGGTAAAAACTAATACAAACTAATATAAAGTAAGGAAGAAAAAAGAAAAAGAAAGAAATCAAGAAGAAAGCTAAAAGTGCAAGAAAGAAAGATAAAGTAAAAGAAAAATAGAAAAGAAAGAAAAAAGATACAAAGATGTGGCTTCCAATCTTCTTTAGAGCAGTTATAAGTACTGTTATAAATTTACCTTTTCTCTAAAGTTAAATCATGACTCTTTTCTTTCTATAATCTATCCTGTCTAATCATCAAAGCCATAAATTATAAGTTCTTTTTTTTTTTGTTTTACACAAAAATCCAGAAGGGGTTTCCAGTCAGCAATAAGTGTAGATATTTTCTTTTCTCTAATCAAAGAAGTTAATGTGGCCATCTCAGCAAGTTCCATCATCTTCACCAACCATTCCTCCATTGTAGGTACTGCCAAATCCTTCCATCTTCATGCATACAATAATCTCACTGTGTTATCATATACAAAAACAAAGTTTCATGATTTTTTTCCATCTGTTTGTCCATCAGTCCCAAGAGAAAGACTTCTGGTCTCAACTGTATATTAATCTTTAAAATCCTCTGAATCAGTGTATGTATTTGAATCCAGAATTTTCTAGTTTTTTTTACACATCCACCAAACATGATAAAATGTCCCTTTTTGTTGTTCACATTTCCAACATAAATTTGAAGTGCCTTTATACATCTATTTATTTATTTATTTATT